GGAAACTGCGAACCTTAGGCCTACAGCCTGGTGGGCCCCCCACAAGGGGGCCGGCGGATTTTCCAGAAATGAGTATTCAACAGCAACAACAACAACAACAACAACAACAGCAGCAGCAGCAGCAGCAGCAGCAGCAACAGCAACAGCAACAGCAACAGCAACAGCAGCATCAACATCAACAGCAGCAGCAGCAACAACAACGTAGCAACCCTCCTCCTGGCCCCAGCCCAGGGCCAGGAGCGCCGGTGGCACACGGCGTGTTTCTCTCCTCTCCCGGCCCCTGGCGACAGTATTTGCGCGCCGGGTGTGCCAGCGTTTCTCCCAGGCCCCCGGCCTCTTCCAGTAAAGCGAGTGCGCACACGGGTGTAGCGGCGCGCCTCCAGGCTCCGTCATGTGTCTGAAAAGCCTCAGGATGGCATGCCAGAGGCGCCAACGCCTCTCCCGGCCCCGCCCCCAGTTGTTAGTTCGGATCTTGCTGTCCTTGGGATGCCGAAAGAACCCTAGGGGATCCACTATCAAGAAACCGTTTGCCCCCATCCGGAATCCTTGAGAAACCTTTGGACCCTTTTGGCAAGTCTTCGCAATCCGTTGGAATCCCGATGCGTGTCCTCGAGGGAAGGCCGCAGGAATCCCTTAGGAACATTCGGGGAACCTTGGTGGTCCCAAGACATCATGCGGAAACATCAAAAATCCGTCGGAATCCAAGGGAATCATTGGGAATCCTGGGGGGGAGGAGGCCTGCGGGATCCCTGAAATTTTCGGAAGCTTCACGAGCCCTCAGGATCTTCAAGAAGCAGCAGGAAGCCTTTGGATTCCTCAGGGCGTCGGGGATGCGTCGAAATCTGCATGAACCCCGAGGGGGTCGTAGGAATGCTGCGTCATCTGTTGAAATCAGTAAAGAGTCCTGATGAGTCGCCGGGAATCCGTAAGAACTCCGAGGAAGCCTCAGGAATTCTTCGGAAGCCATGGGAAACCGTACGGATTATTCGAAGTCTGTCGGAATCCACAAGAATCCACGGGGTCCCGCAGGAGTCCTCGGAGATCCTGCGGACGGAGTGCTTCGGGGTCCTGAGGAGTCCTTCGGAATACGTCGGAAGCGTGCGGAATTCTCAGGGATCTTTATGAACCGCAGGAATCACTAGTAATCCCGAGGAGCCCTCGGCCAACCTGAGGAATCGTCAGGCATCCTTAGGAACATATACACGCAACAAAAAAAACATATAATTACTCCGACGGTAGGACCCCACATGAGAATATGTTTAGATTACCCTTTGCCCTTTCCTCCTCCCCCTGGCGGACACCCTCTCCTCTCGCCCCCTGCACTGCCCTCTCCTCTCGCCCCCTGCATTTCTCTTCCTCCTCCTCTTTCTCCTCTCCTCCTCCTCCTCCTCCTCCTCCTCCTCCTCCTCCTCCTCCTCCTCCTCTCCTCCTCCTCTCCCTCCCCTCCTCCTCCCTCCTCTCTCCTCCCTCCTCCTCCTCCTCCTCCTCCTCCTCCCTCCTCCTCCTCTCGCGCCACCTCCTCCTCGTCGTCGGCCTCCCCCATGCCCCTTCCCTCCTCATCCCCCTGCCTTTTCTCCATGTGCACCTCCCCTTCCCCCTCGTCGGGGCAAGCAAATCCATTTTCCTCAGCGCCGTCGCCGCCTCGGCCAGCGCGCGCGCGTCTGCCGACGGCTAGATCGCGAAGCCGTCGGGACAAACCTTCGGGCTGGGCCGTTGAGACAACCTCGCAGGCCGCTGGGGCGTGGGAGCTAGCCGTTGGGACAACCCCGCGGGCCTCCAGGCGCGCGCCGCGGCGCTCAGGCGGGAGGCAGCATGAAACCCAGCTCTGCCGCGAGCTGCTCCGCCTCAGCCCTGGAGTCCACCGCTTTCTTGTCGAACTCCTCGAGCGCCTTCCGCAGGGACGCCGGCGGCCCGCGCTCCAGGAACTCTCGCGCGGGCGGCCGCAGGATCAGCATGTTCCGCATGCACGTGGCGCGGGAGAACATGACGTAGAGGTGCAGCCACCACATATCGTCCGACATGCCCGTGCGGCCAGCGTCCTCATCCCTGGCGCAGTCGATGGTGACGCCCTTGCGCAGCGTCTGGCCCTGCGACAGCGTGGAGGTCAGGTAGGACGCGTGCGTCAGTGTGAATCCCGAGCGGCGCACAGTGTGCGCCCCCGAGCTTTGCCACGTGAACTCCTGCTCGCTGGGCCTGAACATGAGCAAGCTCCTCGCCCGCGTTTCGGCCTCGCCGTCGTCGGCAGCGCCATCGGCGCCCTGCTGCAGCACCTCGGCGACCTCCTTGTAGATCGGGGACTCCTGGAAGCCGTGCACCTGCAGCTAGATTCCCTGCGGTAGGTAGCGGGGGCGGAAGAGCTGGCCCGGCGCGGACTCCTCGTAGTCCTGCTCGTCGTCTGCGTGAAACTCGAAGGACACGATGGTGGCCCGTTGCTCCTGCACGAGCCCCAACTTCTTCTTCAGCTCCTCCTGCACGGCCGTGAACCGGACCTCCATGCCGACGCGTGCCGGTAAGACGCCGTGGATGTCCCCCGTCTTGTGCATGTTCGGGACGTTCAGGAGGCGCCGGCCTGCGTCTGGGTCGCCTTGAATCGTGCCGCACTCGTCTACGGCCTGCAGGAAGACGAGGGGGACGCCGAGGCGCCGCGCGTCGCGACGAGCGCGCGTGTTGATCCACCTCGCCAGCGTCTCCCAGTAGATGCCCATGCCGTAGCCGAGCCGGAAATTCTCGTGCTGGTGCCGTGGGTCCAGGACGCCGTGGTTGTCAGAGGCCAACGTCTTCTCCCAGGCAGACCAGACCTCTGGTGGGAAGCGCTTGCCCTCGCGCATGCAGCCCAAGAACGCGATCAGAGGGTCCCCTGGCTCGAAGCGCTTCGTGCCCTTCAGCTCGAAGACGCAGGGGATTTGAGAGAATACCCTGATGGCGTGCTGGATCTCCACCGTCGGCGGCTCCGCGTACTTGTACGACCCGTCTTCCAGGAGCTCGTTCACGTCCGTCAGGAGCCCGATGCTGCCGGTGGGCTTCAGCTGCGGGAAATCCCCGAGGTGCAACACGATGGGGACGCGGCCGAAGTGGTGGTGCGGCCTCTTGTAGGTGGACTCCTGCACGTCGTGCGTGTCACTGCGCCCGTGGCAGGCGCGAAGGTCCAGCGCGTTGTACAGAGCAGCTGCCACCATGCTTACCTCCTCGATGACCAGGACGCGGACGTGCTCCCACAACCACTGCAACCTCTTCTGCATGCCCCCCGGTCTCATCTTCGCGTTGATGTACTTCTGGACTCGCAGGGCACAGGCGTTGTGCAGCGTTCTGGCTTTCACCGTCTCCGTGGAGATGTTCTTCGCCTGCGCATCCGCGAGTATTTTCTCCGTGGAGAAACAAGCAAACCGCCTGAGACATCCCCAAAAAATGGCCGCGAACGAGCCCGTGCAACCACCCCTGGCGGCTCCCCTTAGGGGTGCTGAAACCAGCGCCCCGCCTGAGACATCCTCACAATCTGCTGTCCAAGCGAAGGATGTTGAGCCCGGAAACAGGCAGACCGCCTGAGACATCCCCACAAAAAGGCTCTCAAATCCCCTCGGTGGTTCCGTTGGGCTGCCTGACACTTCCTCACGATTATTCACTCACAGACGAGGCTCCCGCTTGATATTCTTCCATATTCAGGCTTCAGGAGCCCAAAAGAGACGACAGTTACACGTTTGAGGATGACCCGCTCAGATTCAAATATGAACTGCGGGCCCCATAGGGAGGGGGCTCCCGCCTGAGACTTCCTCACAATTCACTCACAGACGAGGCTCCCGCTTGATACTTCCTCCAAATTCAGACCTGAGGAGCCCAAAAGTGACGACAGTTACAGGAATCCGATGACCCGCTCGGATTATAACATGATCTGCGGGCCCCATAGGGAGGGGGCTCCCGCCTGATCACAATTCACTCACAGACGAGGGTCCCGCTGATACTTCTTCCAAATTCTGCGTGGCCCCATAGGACATGATCTGCGGGCCCCATAGGGAGGGGGCTCCCGCCTGAGGTTCCCGCTTGATACTTCCTCCAAATTCAGACCTGAGGAGCCCAAAAGTGACGACAGTTACAGGAATCCGATGACCCGCTCGGATTAGTAACATGATCTGCGGGCCCCATAGGGAGGGGGCTCCCGCCTGAGACTTCCTCACAATTCACTCACAGACGAGGCTCCCTCTTGGTGGATGATGGTGATGGGATGATGACGACGGTGTTGATGATGATGATGATGATGATTGATGATGATGATGATGATGATGATGATGATGATGATGATGATGATGATGATGATGATGATGATGATGATGATGATGGATGATGGTGATGGTGATGGTGATGATGGATGATGATGGTGATGATGATGATGATGATGGTGGTGATGATGAGTGCTGATGGTGAGTGATCGTGCGATTATGATGGTAAATGGTGGTGATGATGATGGGGACGAAGTGGTGAGTCAGCGATGATGATGATGATGATGATGATGATGATGATGATGATGATGATCGTTCGATGCCGATGATGGTGAGTGATCGTGCGATGGTGATGCTGATGATGTGATGGTGATGATGATGATGAGTGGGGAGTGATGGTGATGGTGATGATGATGCGGAGGAGGAAGCAAAGAGGAGCAGAGGAGAGGGAGGAGGACGAGAGATCCTGCGCGGAGGGTGTGCAGAGAAAACAAGAACCCCACTTAGGATGTGGGGAAAAAACAGATTGTTGTTAATTATGGTTTGCTCCCCCCCCAAACAGCACCAGCACTGATGGGGGGGAAGGAGGCCCTGTCCACTCCCCTCCCTCCCCCAGCATTGCAATCGCATTGCCTTGGCACTGCGTTGCGATCGCATTGCATTGCAATCGATGCGCGTTGCATTGCAATCGCCTTGCATTGCATCGCATCGCATTGCGCTGGATTGCATTGCATTGCCTCCTCCTGCATCGCCTTGCGCTGCAATGCATTGCTGTCCTGCCCCCAGTGGCCAGTTTTTGCCCCCCCCCCCCCGGCGCAGCGCGCCCGCGATGCCGCGCCAATACAGGCCTCGCGGCACCGCGCACCGCGCGCTGGCCGCTCGAGGCGGCCCCGACCGTGACGCGGGGGAGATGACGGCCGCCGCGCCCGGCGCCGAGCCCTTAGCGACCGCACCGTACCGCCGGAACCAGGATCTAGCCCTCCTAGGTAGGGTCGGAGTCGATGGGGTCGGAGGATCGCGCCGCATCGCCGGTGCATCGCCGATGCGGCTCGATGTGCAGCCCGATTTGCGTCACGTCGACGTCGCCGATGCATCGCCGACGTCGACGATGCATCGCTGGTGCATTGCCGCTGCATCGCCGATGCATCGACGATGTATCGCCGATGTATCGGCGATGCGGCGCGACCCTCCGACCCCATCTACTCCGACCCCATCTAGGAGGCCTCTACAGGAGCTCCGCGCGGCGCCGGGCGTCGCGGCGCGGGCCGCGCCCGCGCCGTCGGCCTCCCCGCGCGGCGAGGCGCTGCCGCCGCAGGTCGCCGCTCGCGCCCGCCGCGGCGGGCTGCCGCCCGCGGACGCGCCGCGCAGCACCGTCGCGGCCGTGCCGCGCAGCGGCCCCACGCCCTGGGGCACCCCGTCCACCACCGCGAGCGGGGCGCCGTCGAGCTGGGCGCTCAGCGACGACGAGCAAGAGGGCTCCGAGGCGCCGCGTGTCTGGGCGCTGCGGGGTGGCGGCGAGCCCGCGAGGGCATGGAGGGTCAAGAACACTCTCCTGGAGCTCTACCTGCTCGAGGATTGCAGTGAACGCCCCCGGCGGGCGCGCTCCGCGCCGCCGCCTGCGCGCGCCTCGGGCGAGTGCCAGGCAGAGGCCGCGTCGGAGTCTTCGGGCAAAGAGCAGTTCGCCGAAGTCGTGAGCGCTCCTCGCGTGCCGACGGTGGGCTCGGCGCTGCACATGTCCAACAAATGCAGGCCTTGCGCGTTCGTGCTCAGCAGTGGCTGCACCTCTGGCGAGAATTGTGCCTTCTGTCACCTGTGCGGCCCAGATGCAAAGAAGCGTCGCCAGAGGGAGCGCTGGGATGAGAAGCGCCGCGCCTGGCGCGCCAGCAAGCGCGGCCTGAGGCTCGCGCCTGCGGGCAGGTGAAGACACTGGGGCGCCCTTGAGCGGCGCACGGGCCAGCGAGACGTAGGGCCTGATGGTGCCTCTCTGGCTCGTCAGTTGGCCCCCTCCGCCCGTCAGCGTTCGCGCGCCGTGCAGCAGCCGGCTCCGGCGCGCCCCCGCCGCTCGAGCTCGTCTCGGCGGCGCCCCGAGGGCGCGTACCCGGGGGCTTTGGCCGTGGCTTTGGACGCTCCACTGTCGCAGCAGGATGGAAAGGAAGCCAACAATCTCTCAAAACCCATGATCGCAGTGATAGTGAACGGCGTGAGTGTTCGAGTTACACCGCGCCGTCTTTTTCGGCCATCATTGGTCTGCAACTTATAGTTTTAGGTCGTTTCTCTCAGCTCCTGCGGTCGCGACTCCACTTCGTCCTCATCTCTCCTCTTCCTATCGAATTCTAGCGAATGAATATTCCTCCCGCTCCCTCCTCCTCCTCCAGGGGAGGGGAAGTGAGAGAGAGAGAGAGATAGCGCAACCATTCAGGCCCGATCTGGGCGTCATCATTCACTGCGGCCGCCAACAGAGCTGCGGCCTCACTAGCACCAGAATGCAACTGCAGGCATCGTGTCTCGCCTGCGCCTGCCGTTTTTGGCACGGCGCCGTGCAGCGCCTGTTTTCGAGGTGGTAGCCAGCTGGGAGCTGCAAGATGGGTTCGTACCCTTCTCTTCCTCGAGGCGAGGACGTCCAGTGTCCTTGAGGCTAGATCGTCAAGTGTTCTGGTCAATGTATCGACCATGCTTCAGAACTGCCCACTCCATGTGGGCCTCTTGACATGCATAGCGTCGTCAGCGTAGTGCACACCCCCGGCAATGATGCCATGTGGCATCTGTTCGCGGAAATCCGAGTTCCGAGTTCCCTCCCCCAGCATTGCAATCGCATTGCCTTGGCATTGCGTTGCAATCGCATTGCATTGCAGTGCAATGGCATTGCATGGGCATGGCATCGCCATCGCATTGCATTGCATTGCATCGCGTTGCGCCGGATTGCATTGCATTGCCATCCTCCCTTCTCCTCCGTTGCCCCAAGACCCAGGAGGGAGAAGGAAGGAGAGGTGGGGGGGAGGGCCCGCATCCTTCCTCCTCCTCCCCTTCCATCGCCCCCAGATGCAGGAGGGTATTAAAGTAGTAGCACTCTATTGCTACAGCCCTGGACTGAGAGTAGTGCAGTAGCATGCGATAGTAATAATATTGTATTGTAGTATCAATGATTGAGTACTGACTGTCGTAGTAGTAGCACAGTAGCAGTGTAATAACCGTAGTGCTCTGCTAGTGCAGCATGTTAGAATTGCCGTAGTAGTGGTAGTAGTAGTAGTAGTAGTAGTAGTAGTAGTAGTAGTCGTCGTCGTCGTCGTCGTCGTCGTCGTCGTCGTCGTCGTCGTCGTCGTCGTCGTCGTCGTCGTCGTAGTCGTAGTATTGCAATCATGAAGTGGCAGCAATCTAGTAACCATGTAATTGTAGTAGTTTCACTCAGGAGTTGTAGCAAAATCATACTTCAGCACTTGCTTTAGTAGTCGCACTGTAGTATTGTAGCAGGAGTAGCCCACTACTGTAGTACTCTGGCACAGTAGTAGTATCCTCGAACTGTAGCGCGTCACTGGCAGTGCTGTAGGGATAGTGCTGCACTAGTGTGGAATAGTGTTGTACTGTTGTAGCAGTGGCACTGGAGAAGCCGGATTATGACACAGCCTTCGTAAGAGTAGTATTCTATTATTGCCTGCAGTGAGTGTACTACAGTACTGTAGTAGGATTACTCAAATGCCGAAAAAGCGCAGCACTGCTGTAGTACTCTCGTACTGTAATGGTGTAGTGGTCACTGGCATAGTCGTAGTACAGTACTGCACCAGTAGTAGTGCAGTTGCGGCACTCTGGTATTGTACGAGTAGTAACACTAAGAGTGGCAGTAGTAGTAGTAGTAGTAGTAGTAGTAGTAGTAGTAGTAGTAGTAGTAGTAGTAGTGGAGCTCTAATTGGAGTGCTCTAGCACAGCTGCCGCACCCTAGTACCGTTGTGCCGTACTAGTATCATTATGTCGAAGTCGCAGTAGTATTATGGTAGAGTAGTGGTGGTGACACTATAGTGGTGGCGGTAGGGGTAGTACAGTATTAGAATAATTGAGTCTCGTTTCGGCACTCTGGTACGGTCGCTCTGTTATAGTTGCAATCGTGGTGTAGAAGTAGTAGTACTGTAGCACTGTAGTCGTAGCACTGTTGTACTAGTGTGGTAGTAGTCATGACCTAGTATTGCACTAGCAATAGTAGGGCTGAGGCTCAGGTTAGGCTTTGGCTGAGGCTGAGGATGAGGCTTAGGCTACATGTTGGTTGGGGTTTAGGCTAGGATAGGCTGAGGCTTAGGCTAGGCTTAGGCTTAGGTTGAGGCTTAGGCTGAGGCTTATGCTGAGGCTGAGGCTTATGTCAATGTTAGGCTGAGGCTTAGACTGAGGCTGAGGCTTAGGCTAAACTGAGGCTCAGGCTGAGGCTCAGGCCAGGTTCAGAGGCTTAGGCTGAGGTTTCGGCGAGGCTCAGGCTAGGTTTAGGCTGAGGTTTAGGCTAGGCTGAAGCTTAGGCTGAGGCTGAGGCTTAGGCCGGGTTCAGGCGAGGCTGAGGCTTAGGCTTGGCTGGCGTACGTTGCGGCTTAGGCTAGGCGGGGGCTGGTGCTTAGGCTTAGGCTGAGGTTTAGGCCAGGTTTAGGCAATGCTTAGGCTGAAGCTTAGGCTAGGCTGAGGCTTAGGCGTAGGCCAGGCTGAGGCTAGGCTGAGGCTTAGGCTTAGGCATGGCTTAGGCTAATGTTTGGCGGGGTTTAGGCTAGACTAGGTAGGCTGAGGCTTAGGCTAGGCTTCGGCCGAGGTTTAGACTGAGGACGGCTGAGAGAGGGAGAGAGAGTGAGAGTGAGAGAGAGAGAGAGAGAAAAAAAAAAAAAAAAAAAAAAAAAAAAAAAAAAAGGAGAGGGGAGGCAGCGCCGAGGAGCACAGCGGGTATACCGCGCCGATACCAGCAGCAAGCAGACGACGCGCCCCGCCCCCCACAAAACAAAATCATTTAAAACGCAGGGGGCGATTCGACTGTTGAACCGAGCACAACGAGCGCACCTTCAATGACACCTCAGACGAGAATGGTCATCCGGTGTGGAAGGGCAGCGTCAGTCTGTTTTGGATGTGGGGTGACCCTTCCATCGAAACAGTTATCTGGTGGTCTTGGCCAGTTGATACCAATCCAGAGTTGACTTCCCTTGCGGTTGTCTGGATTACGTCCATGGACGCCCAGGTGATGCCCGCTGAAAGAGCTTCAGCCAACCATGACTCTGAAAGCCTCACGTAAGGGATTACATTCTTCACCGACGCCACTTTCACAACCAAGGATACTACAGGCATGCTAAAGCTTCTTTGCTTCAAAATATCTGTAGACATGCACATCACCCAGGTACTACTGTCCGCGACATTTCCATTTTTTTTCGGACGTTCATGATCTCACATCAACGGTGAATGAGATCAGCTGAAAAAAGATTGGCCGATTAGGCTCAGTTTACAATCACGCTTCGGCCATGCTTGCAGCGCCACTTGATAGTAAGGAGCAGCGTGTTGCCACATTCGGCGCGTCAAGGACGTCGCCTCGTCCAAGCAGACAAGGATAGCGACGTTCATGCAACAAGGGTCACAGTGTTACTGTGATGGCAGATGTGTTGACTGAAGGGTTTAATTGGGACAACACTGATGCCAAGACGATGGAGGACATGCAGGAAGCCCTGCGGATCACCGTCAGCGAGGCTTTGGGCCAGGCAACGTACGCGGTGGAGATGTGGCTCTCCAAGGGGATGCAACTTAGTTCCGTAACACTGCGAATCATCATTGGCTTGCACCATATTTACAGCGCGGACGAGTGTTTTATAGCATCTACGATCGAAGTGTCTAATGCTTTCCGACGCGCCATCGATGACGTTGTCAAAGCGCTTGGCATGGAAATGATCCCATCAATCGGGTCCACAAGTGCCGAGGTCCAGTGCTCGTCACCTATATACCACGTGGGGCGGCCGCTACGTAACGGCCTGAAGCACGTGTCTTATCTCTGTCGTTGTTTCGGCGTTCATTGGCACCCACGCCCATGTCCACGTGAAGAAGCAGAAAGGTGGCGTTACCACTCAGGAGCGCGCAGTTTTCATTGCTTCGAACGACATCGCCACCAACGCCGAACCCGACGCTTGGTAAACTTGATTGTAGGTCCCAACCGTCTGAGGCCGCCCTCCACCAAACATAGTTGCAACGGCTACTTTTATCTTCCTTCCGACGGCTACCTCGCCTTCTGCTGACCATGGATTACATTTCGACCCTTGCCTCTTCCACCCCAGGGTCTCCTTCCTGTCTGCTCCTCTTCCATCTCTTTCTCCATTCCCCCTCCCTCCGCCCTTCCCCGCCTCCGCGGGGGCAAACGGATGCGGCGCGGCAGGATGAGGAGCAGAAGAGGAGGAGGAGGAGAAAGAGGAGGAGGAGGTAGAGGGCGAAGCACAAGCGCTCGCATGAGCACCATCTTTCTTCGGGAGAACGCGCGGGAGGCCCTCGCGCAGACGTTCCCCCCTTCGGCCAGCGCCTTGGCTTGTTTTCTGGGCAACCTGAAAGGTGCCACAACTTTGTTCATAATCGGGCCATCTGCCTTCTCTGAATCGCAGCAGTAGCGGTCAGGAGCGAGCTTGTGTGGTTAGAGCCATCACCGCTACCTTTGACCCATCAGCGTTGCGCTCTGCACAATGATCTCGGACTTTCTCCAGTGATTCGTCACCAAAAAGCACCAACAACAACAACAACAACAGCAACAACCGAACAAACAACCAACAACCAACAACAACAACCAACCAAAACAACAACAACAACAACAACAACAACAACAACAACAACGACAACAACAACAACAACCACAACCACAACCACAATCACAACCACAACCACAACAAACAGCAACAACAACAACAGCAACAACAACAACAACCACAACAACAACAATAACAACAACAACAACAACAACAACCACAACCACAACCACAACCACAACAACAACAGCGATAACGACAACGACAACGACAACAATAACAGACAACAACAACAACAACAACAACCACAACCACAACCACAACCACAACCACAACCACAACAACCACAACAACAACCACAACAACAACAGCAACAACCACAACAACCACAACCACAACCACAACCACAACCACAACAGCAGCAACAGCAACAACAGCAACGATATCCTCATCGTCGTCATCAACATCATCACCAACAGCATCGTTATCATCATCAGCAGCAGCATCATCAGCAGCAGCATCATCAGACGTTCGTCGCAGCCCAGTGATTCTGAGTTGTTTAACGTACACGGGGAAGTTTGCCCATCAAGCTTGGACTGTGGTCATATGTTGCTGCTTTGGCTCGAGACGCCTTGAGGCGCTCAATTGGCCAGATCCCCCTCCCTCCCACCTCCCCCCTCCATTTCTTCCAGTACCTTTTTCTCCTCCCGACTCCTACCCATACTCTTCCCTCGATTCCTTGTTTTCCACTCCTTTCCTTTTCCATATTCCTCTCGTCCCCGATCTCCCCTCCCCGATAATCGCCCTCCCCTCCCTATCCCACTCCGCATTCAGCTCTGCCTCCTCCTTCTTCCCCTGCCCAGCCCCTCCTATTATCGTCCTATCCCCCTCCCGATATTATTGCGAAGGCCTTACGGCCGGTGCCGCCGACCCTGAATGGCGACGACGACGACGACGACGACGACGACGACGACGACGACGACGACGACGACGACGACGAGCGCTCTCGGGAGCCTCTGGGGGATTGTTTGGGGGCCTCTTGGGAGGCTCTTGGGGGCCGCTCGGGAGCCTCGTGGG